AAAATGCATGTTTTAGGAGTTGCATTTTGGAGAGTGATTATAGTGGTGGGCTGTGAGGTCGGGGCCACCCATTCTAGTAGAAGACTAGAAACTATGTGAGAAGAGTGGTCCAGGCCTGTTCTGACCACCCACTGACCATGAGCCTTATCCTGTCACTACGTGGTATATTTAGGCAGGCAAGCAGACAAGTGGGGAGATACCCTGAGTACTTCCCAGGAGGGTAACAGCCTTACTGCCTGGGCCTTACACCACGTTCGGCCTGTGCTTCTTGGTATAGACTAGGATTTGGCAAGCCATGGCAACTCCGAGGCAAACCAGGAATCCCCTGACTATGTTCAGCCCTCGAATGAAGAATGGTTTTTACATTTTCAAATGCGTGGAAGAAAAAAATCAAAAGAATATTTCATGATGCATTAAAATTACATGAAATTCACATTTCGGCCCCCATAAATAAAGGTATACTGGCACACAGCCACACTTGTTCCTTTACATACATGCCTCTGGCTGCTTTTACACCACAATGGCAGAGTTGAGCAGTTACATCAAAGATCGTGTGACCCCAAAGCTGAAAATATTTACTCTCTGGGCTTTAACAGAAAAAGTTTATTAACCTCTGGTTTAGACCATTTAGGTAATAGACTTTGGGCTGGTAGATCTCTCCCTTCCCATGTTTAAGTGTTGATGGGAACACGGACAGCATATACACAAATAAACCAACATTTTGGGGTGGGGGAACTTTCCACTTTGTAGTGGAAAGAAATGCAGTAATGTAGTAATGGAAAGAAAATGAAAAAGAAATGTAGTAATGAAAAGAAATGCAACATAAAGTACAATAATAAAGGGTCCTTTTTGTTCTGCTAATAAAGCAAAAAGACAAATGATAAAAACACTAGCAAAGCGATTAGAGAAAGCAAGAACAGTACAGTGTAGTTCACATCATTATGAACTGGTTCACCTCTTCCATCAAACAATCTGGCAGAATTATCCGTCATAAATGTGTTCACACCCTTTGACCTAATAGTCCGAGTCCTGGAAATCTATTTTAAGGAAACAATCAAAAGAACATAAACACTGTGTCAAGATGTTCACATTACCATTTTTCTAACAAAATGCTGGAAACATCCTGAAGTGTTTAGAAATAAGAAATGAATCAGTAGGGGCACCTGGGTGGCTCAGTCAGTTAAGCATCTGACTCTTGATTTCAGCTCAGATCATCATCTCACGGTTCATGGGTTTGATCTCCACATTGGGCTCAGTGCTGACAGCATAGAGCCTGCTTAGGATTCTCTCTCTCCCTCTCCCTCTGTTCCTCCCCTGCTTGCACGTGCTCTCTCTCTCTCAAGATAAATAAACATTTAAAGAAAAGAAAAGATCATGAATATGCAATTAATACTTAGGTGAAGTGTTAGAGAAATGCAGTCTAGAAAAATATCTTGTTTGTGAAGACCTTTGAACCAGCTTTGATAATTTCCCCCCACACTGTCATTAGTCCTTTAATAAGCAAACGCCTTTGTAGACAAGGACAACACACACATACAGAACGCAGGACAGGAGTGAGCCTCTGGGAACACAATTCTTACAAATAGAGCAAATGATGATTAGCAGTACTTTGGTCCAAATCAATTTATACCTATAGTCTCCACTTCCAAAAACTCAAATTCAACTCATCTCGCTGCATACATGAAATATGTATAGCTGTTTGTATGTCAATCATGCCTCAATAAAGTGGTTAAAAAAAAGAAAAAAGAAAAATCAAATTCCTAGTTTTCATGAACCTTAGGGAACTAAGGACTCTAAGAAAAAAAAGGAATTTGTTCCTGATGAATATAAAAATCAGAATCACTTTAGTAATCCAGCCTTTGTGTCCACCAATATCTTTAGGCTTTGGCCCTATTCCAAAGTATTCTCTTTTACTAAAACAAAACAAAACAAAACAAAACAAAACAACAAAAATAAACCTTTACTTTTCTGTTTTTCCATTCAACCCAGAGCACTGCAATCACAGGCCCATAAATCAAATTTAAATAATGAATGAATAGCATCAAATGCTTTCCATCAAAACTATAAATTATTTTCAGAAGCAATGTAAGCAAATGTATTTTGTTCCATTTTGCAGAAATATACTGATGAGGGGGCTGTGGGGGGAGCCTTACAAAAGTAATGGGCTGACTAGAGAAAAAATGCTGCAAAAGAAATACACCAACTAGGGGGAAGAAATCCACAAGATACTATGGTGCTATTTGTTTTTATATTTTTATGACACTCAATACAGCCATGGCCAGTGGTCGTATTCGTATCTCTCATCTCCAACACGACACAAGTGCAAGGGCAAAACCTTATGCATCCTGAGGCTCACAGGTTCACACACTCATATGACATTTGCAAACTATGAAGCACAGTTTAAATTTAAGGGCAGGCCTGGGGCGCCTGGGTGGCTCAGTCAGTTAAGCGTTGGACTCTTGATTTCGGCTCAGGTCATGATCTCATGGTTGATGAGTTTGAGCCCTGCGTCCAGCTCTGCGCTGACAGCGAGAAGCCTCCCTGGGATTCTCTCTCCCTTTCTCTCTGTGCCCCTCCCCTGCTCTTGCACTCTCTCTCTCCCTCTTCCAAAATAAATAAAATAGACTTTTAAAAAAAAATTAAGGCAGGCACAGAAACAACCCAAATGTCCATCAACTGATGAACATATCAACAAAATGTAGTCTAACCATACAATGAAATAGTGTTCAGCCCTAAAAAGGAATGAAGTGCTGATACGTGCTACACTGTACGTATACCTTAAAACATTATGCTAAATGAAATAAGCCAAACACAAAATATCATATGTCATATGGTTCCACTTATATGAAGCGTTCCTAACAGGCAAATCTGTAGAGACAGTAGATTAATGGTTGCTTAGGACTGAGGGGGGCCGGTCATAGCTAAAAGGAAACAGGGATTCTTTTCGAAGTGACAAAGATGTTCAGAAATTGACTGTCGTGGTAGTTGTACAACTCTGTGAATATAATAAAAAACAGTGAACTACATACTTTTAGTAGTTGAATTGTATGGTATGTAAATTATATCTCGATAAAACTATTACAATTTTTTTTCAAAGTAGGCAAAAGATATTAATTAAAAGCAAGGATTTTTGTTCTCTAGTCAGCCCGTTACTTTTGTAAAGCTTTGTTGTATTCAAGATTCATAAAAATCATCGACATTACTTTTATGCCTACTGTAAAGAAAAACAAATCCTAAATCAGTCTTATTTCTATCAAGACAGATCAAAATTTAAAATATTTTGAAGACAATGCTCTTTTTTAGAAGCTTAGTACAATTAGCAGTGAATCTTTTACATAAAACAGATACAATTTTAAAACATTAACTTTCTCACTAACCATTTTTTGTCTCTTAGGCAATTATTTGAACAAAGTTTCAAAGTATTTGAAAACATTTGAAAGCTGAAGAATCACTACTAATATCCACAGAGAGAAAAAATTCTTATATTCTTAAAGAAAAAAGTCACTTAGAGAACAATGGTTTCTTATCCAGAGAGAGTAAAGAAATGTGCCTTGAAACTTTTCTTTTTTAAATTTCATTCTTACTGGGGCGCCTGGGTGGCGCAGTCGGTTAAGCGTCCGACTTCAGCCAGGTCACGATCTCGCGGTCTGTGAGTTCGAGCCCTGCGTCAGGCTCTGGGCTGATGGCTCAGAGCCTGGAGCCTGTTTCCGATTCTGTGTCTCCCTCTCTCTCTGCCCCTCCCCCGTTCATGCTCTGTCTCTCTCTGTCCCAAAAATAAATAAACATTGAAAAAAAAAATTAAAAAAAAAATTTCATTCTTACTAGGAAGCTTTATATTCCTTAGAAGCTGTTTATCACTGGGGCACCTGGGTGGCTCAGTCGGTTAAGTGCGGGACTCTTAATTTCGGCTCAGATCATGATCTCACGGGTTCATGGGATCAAGTCCTGTGTCAGTGCAGATTAGGAGTCTCTCTCTCCCTCTCTCCGTGCCCCTCCCCCCCAAATAAATAAATAAACTTAAAAAAATTAAAAGAAGCTGTTTATCATCCATAAAGGAGAAACTCATATTTCTGGTCTTATTCTTCGTTAAGAAGTCATTTTTCTAAGATATGCTTATAACTTCATGGGAATGATGCTGGACACCCAAGATACCTGGGTTCCCTTCCCCTGCTTCCGGCCCTTTCAGCACCTTTCATGTTCCCTTTCATGACACTCTTTCCACTTGTTTTGAGGCCCTGGGGGAGGACAGGGCTGATATTTGTCCTGGGCACTACTGTATCTGCAGAATCTAGCACAGTGCATATGGCACAGAGTAGGCACTCAAGATGTCTTTATTAAACTGAATTCAGGGCTCTGGGGTTTTTCTTGCTTTATGTTAGTCTCATATAATGTGTTAATCTATGAAAATAAGTTCCACAGAAATTAGAGTAACCTTATCGGGAGTGAAAGATGAGCAAATATCAGATGGCAAGCCACATCATATTTTCCTCTCCCCGACCTAAAGCTGCTGGGGGAACAGAGAAATATACTTCTCAGACTTAATTGCTCTACTCCTTAAGAAGTTTGTAAATTAGTGGCTGACACCAGTCAGACATCAAAGAAGTAAACAGGGAGCTGGTTTCATTGTAGTGGAGAAAACTGTGGCTTGGAAAGAAGTGGGTGAATCAGGGCTCTCCCCGTGCAAGGTCATCTCCAGCAGCATCGGTAAATCGCAGAGTAGCCCGCTGGGCCCGGTGTCGTGGTGGTCAAATAAGAAGGGGCCTTCACAGGCTTTCTACCAAGCCTCCCGGGGAGACTAGGGGGAAAGCAGGAGGAGCAGCAAAGGCAAATGGGACAGGTGGGATAAAGAGTCACAGCACCTGGAGCTACTGGAAGGGAAGCTGGAGAGGTGGAAGGGGCGGCGTGGGCTCCAGAGGACTCTGACTGCGGCTGTGTCTGCACAGAGCCACGCGAACCACCCGCCCCGACCTCTGAGAGAACAAACGATCGTAGACACTTACTTAATATTGAATTTTCAGTTTTGAAAACAGTTCTTCTGATTCCCAGTCTCATTGTTCCTCCCAAATTGCCAGGGTTGTGTTCGGGCATATCAATCACCTTAGAAAACAAAACAAGTCCGGTTTTGCCATTTATACAAATGTAATTTCCCAAATTCCAAGCTTTACTTTTAAAGTAACGATCGTTGGTTGGGTAAGGATGTTCCCTAGACAATAAAACCTGATCATTCCTTCCAATTTTCTTATTCAAATACAGCCATGCTTTACACACTCCTCACAGTAGTCTTCCTTTTCATCTCTGTTCTAATCTTTCATTCAAATTACTTGTACAAAATGTGTCAGGACCTTCTTTATGACCTTCCATCTGTCATTACTCAAGACGTCAATTCCAAGCAATGTTCACACTTCAAGTTCTGGACTTCTAGGGCCACTCACTTTGGTATTCGCATCCCTCCCCTACTGCCCATTTCATTCCCTAAAGATTCTCCATAAGCAAATCTGTCCATCCTTATGGAGAAGTACACCAAAAAGACTTTTTTCTAGAAAACCTTAGGATTCCTTTAAAAAAACAAAAGGTAATGTCATCCATTCTAGCACATTCTCTGTGCCATAAACTTCAGCACCACCCTGGATCTCTCCCTCTTCCTCATGACTCATCTCTCATTTGTCAAGTCCTATCAATTTACCCCCTTCCAGACTTCCTGCATCCATCCATGGCTCCAACCATCACCCAAACCACAGCCCCTCAACCCAGGCTATAGCCAGAGCTCCACATTCACGTGACCCCAGTCCATCCTGCACACTACAGGCAAAGCAGTTGTGGTATTTCTCCTGCTTGAAATCCTTGACTGCATGATATCAGTGCAGCCTCGCCCTCCAGCCCCATGTCCCATGACCTTCCCCTCACACCCTGAGCTCTGGTCATGGTGGCCTTCCTCCATTTCCCCCAGTGCATCTTCTTCCCTCCTGCCATGAGAACTCTGCACGTGCTGTTTCCTCTGCCCAGAACATCTCCCATTCCCCTACCCTCTTGTCCTAAATGAAACCATCCTCAACCTTGAGACCTTAGCTCAACTATCCAACATGAACTCCTACAGGAGTTTATATTCTCAGGCACCACAGCCTAGTGAGGACCCCCATCTCTGCCCTCCCCACCCCTGCACTTCCCTTGTTCATGTCTGTAGAGTGCTTTGCCTGTGAGACTATACAGCCTTGAGGGCTGGGGCAGTGCTACCTCTCCTTACATTGCATTCCCGGCCCCTTGTGTATATGGGACTGGCGCATGGTATGTACTGAATGAATGCATGCATGAATGAATAAATGAATGAACTCAGACCAAATAATTTCAGATTTGTCTTTATGATTACTTCATAGAAATTCCAAAACATGATTTTTACGAAAAGCCTGTTCTTGTTAGTCATTGCTGTTGTTTCCGTTCTGTTCGCTACGATCTCGTGGTTTTGTTTCATCTATCGTTTTGTTAAGCTGTTAGAACAGACTACAGTCGGGCAAGTTAACGTGTTCTGATGAAACTGCTCAGGTTTCCCTCTCATAAAACCTTTCAGTTTCCCCCCACACACATTAAATGCCATGTAGTGCTCTATAGAAAACCTGGACAACTAGAATTTCCTGAGGTAAAAATTTTCCCAGAACTTGTATGATCTTATCAGCGCCCCAGAACTTTCGGAGCCATCTGAACCCTGCGTCCCAAGTGCACTCCAAGAGTCACCGAGGGGAAGGGGTGGAGAAAAAACTTGATTACTCCCCTTGTTGGATGGAGTGCTCAGTTCTGAAGTGCTCTAGACCTTGACATCTCTTTCCTATCTTCTCTGGTTGGCTAATTATGGCTAGATTAAGTATTACTGGAGTGAGGTGAGAGAGGGCATTAGGTTCCAGTTCTCAAAGCTGAGCTGCTTATAAATGCCCAGCCCCTTATGTATTTTCTAGGAAAAGGCAGATAAGATTGTGCTATCCACCACAGCCTCAATTTTCACTGCAGTTCAAGACAACCTGAACCATGTAGGAAGAGCACAGCGATGACCCCCCTAACGCCCCCCACCCCCGCTTCTTAGAGGTGTATTCTGGTTGTTCGATCCACTCTTACTTCCCGTATTGGGTTCTTCAGCCCAGGAAGAGTCTTTTAACGTAGTTTGTGTAGTTATTGGCATGTTTGGTTTTCAAGAAATGTTCCGCTATGAACCACTGAGAAAAGTCAAATGACCCACCTGAGAACAGGAAACCTGCCTTACTGCTTACTTGAGATGATCTTGACAGACACAAGACCACATCATATCTCCAAAAGAAAAATACAGTGGGCACAGGGGCTGCCTAAGGGTGTTAAATACTCCTCCAACGTAAAGGGAAGTGTGGAAATCCCTAACAGAGCAATATAAGAATATTATTTAAAAACATGGGGGTAGGGGCACCCGGGTGGCTCAGTTGGTAGAGCACATGACTCTTGATCTTGAGGTCTTGAGTCTGAGCCCCACGTTGGGGGTAGAGTTTACTTAAATACATACATACATAAAAATAATAAAATAATAAAATCTTGGAGGTAAATATCAGGAGAACCAGCTGGAAGACTTGAGGGTGGCAGAGAGGGGGTAAGGATTACTGAATATTTTCATTATAGGCCTTTTGGAATGAGTTGGCTTTTAAAACTTTGTACGTAGTATTATTTTTTTTTTTAATTTTTTTTTTAACGTTTATTTATTTTTGAGACAGAGAGAGACAGAGCATGAGCGGGGGAGGGTCAGAGAGAGGGAGACACAGAATCTGAAACAGGCTCCAGGCTCTGAGCCGTCAGCACAGAGCCCGACGTGGGGCTCGAACTCACGGACCGCGAGATCGTGACCTGAGCCGAAGTCGGACGCTTAACCGACTGAGCCACCCAGGCGCCCCCGTAGTATTATTTTTAATGAAAACACAAATTTAAAGCCCAAACAGTGCAATCTATCATTTAGACCTTCCACTAGGGTGTTAGTTCACATTATCCCTGCTGTTTTCAGAAGCAATAACTACAACCATCTCCGAACATGATAGCACAGAAAGAAATCCCAAGGTACAGCAGCCACAGTGATCCTCTGATTAAAACACGCTAGCACAGAAACCAGAGGAGAAGGCACAGAAGAGGTTAGAGAAAAGATGGGGGTGCAGGTGGAAGTAGCTTTCCAACGGCGAACGATGCCCCGAACGGCAGTGAAAGGAGAAAAGCACAGCAAGAACTGACAGGGGAGTCGCCGTTGTCTCTGGGCTGGCTCAGAAGGCCACATCTGGGGATTCTCATCAGACACTCAGTCTTCTGATGGAAGCCAGGCACAAGCCAGTGGAATCCAAACACACCAAGGGGAAGGTTGGGGAGAGTATACACCTCAGTTCTGGACAAGCCAGGCCCAACCAGCTGCCTTCAGTTACAGTCGCCTCCGATGAGCTCGAAAGTTGCCAGTAGGACTGCCTCTTGGGTTATAAGCAGCCTGATTCAGCAACAAAATTTGGGAAAACGTCTCTGTGCCTGGTATTTCCCTCCACAAAAAGCCTGAGAGACATCAGTTTCAAAACATATCCTTTATCGTGACTGGAGTAGTTAAAAAAAAAACAAACTCAAATATGCGTTAGTTTTAATCCCAACATTTCCAAAATACCCTACATTTGCATCTAAGAGGAAAATGCCTCTTCCACTGCAAAAGGACTGCCTTGGCCTGCTCTGATTTTGCCGAAATACTGGCTGTTGTCTGATCCCCACTACAGAGCTGTCCTTTCTTGGAACTGAGCCAGCCATATAGCATAAGAAAAATAAAAAAGGATCAATAAGTAACGAATATCGGTGGTGATAAAGCTTTAGATGTAAAAGTACCACATAAGGATAAATACAGCCCTGATTAACCTTTACTGAAGTTTCCGCAGCCCACGATAAAAGTGTAATGGGTTCAAGACTGGGTTCATGCGTCCCAGATGCCTTAACAACAGAGTCTAGGGAAGTTATGGTCTCTTATCAAAGATGAAATTCCAGCATACGAGGTAGTACACACTGACTGACCCAACAGAGCCCTGTTTAGGTCAGTTTCCCTCACGTCCCTTGCCTTTGGACATTTCATTTGGGGACGCTGAAGGAGCCCACTCTCCCAAGCCAGCTGTTTCCAGTCTCTCAGGCAACACACAGTGATTTTTCTCAGACTTTCTACTATATTCCGCAAGTATTCTTTACAAGGATTTCCCCAACCCATTCCCTTCCTCTCGTCCATTAGTTTTTCCTGATCATTTTTTTTCAAGCCTGCTTCTGATTTCGATTCTTGATGACTCATGTTCAAGTTGTGCACAAAGTACGAACAAAGTGATGTTCAAATCTATACTCGTCTGCACGTGGCACTCAGTCTGGCTAAGCTCTCCCAAAGCGTCCTAACCTGTGGTTTCTACCTTGGATGGACAGGTCCATTGCTGATGGCTCCTCTGCTCCCCTCCCCACCACTGCTCTACACCTATATCACCTCTTCATCACTTTTCCTAAAATGCCTTGCCCCCCCCATTCCACATGGGCCCATGCTTTCGGGGCACCCTCCAGTTCTCCTTACTGACCCATGATTAACGCCATGTTATTATGCTAACCCTACCAAATAAATAATACGTGGCAAAAGAGACTTTGCAGACATGCGTATATTAAACCTCTTGAGATGGCAAGGCTGTCCCAGATTATCTGGGTGGGCCCGATGTAACAACAGGGTCTTTATAAAAGAGAGGCAGGAGCGTCAGAATCAGAGAAGGAGATAGATGACAGTGGCGGTCAGAGAGAAAAGAGAGAGAGAGAGAGAGACTGGAAGATGCTACATTGCCGGCGTTGAAGATGGAAGAAGGCACCATGAGCAGGCAACCTCTAGAAGCTGGAAAGGCAAAGAAACAGATCCTCCCCTAGAGTTTCCAGAAGGAATGGCAGCCCTGCCTGCCTACCCACTTTATACTTCTCCAGAACTGTAAGAAAACAACCTGTGGGGCTTTGGGGGGGGGGGGGGGGGGGGGGGGGGGGGGGGATTAATTGTGTTGTTTTAAGCCACTAAGTTTGCGGTAATTTGTTACAGAAGCCATAGGATACTAATACGGTCCTTCGTT